AATTATATAATTTATGTGATATATATATATATATATATATATATATATATATATATAAACGCAATATTTACCTTAAATTTTGTCTAAATACTTCTTTACGCATCAATTGATCTGTATGATTCTTATATTTTTTGTTATGAATTTTTTTGAAATCTTCAAATGCCTCATTTACATGTGTGTCATAATTATGAACAAATTCACGCATAGGATTAAATGTATATATATGTTTGTCTCCAGGTCCAGGAAAACCAATACATGTCATATCTGTTTATAGTATATATTTCATAATTAAAATATATTTAAATGAAATTTATGTTAACAAATGAAAAGAATTTTACTTACTTGTTGTAATTTCAAATACTTCTGAGTTAGGTATATCAGATGAGTACCAATCATAATCTAAATAGTAATGATCATAGTGAGAGCCCAAAAGACTATTAAATCCTCTCATTTCATACCTCACAGGAATTGGTTCTTTAAAATTAGGTAAATGTGGAGATTTCTGTAATTAATTTTAAAATTAGATATATTCAATTAATAAAAATAAATGATAAAAATATATAAAGATAAAGAAATATAATTACCTTATATCTTATCCAAAGAGTATATTTATTTATCTTTTCATCAATCTGTTGTTCCAATCTCCATTTTTCACATAATAATCCATTAACTATTTCCTCTCCAATACACTAAATAAAATTTAATTTTATATTAATTAAATTTAATATTAATTAAATATTAATAATATTAATTAAATTTAAATATATAAAAAAAAATGAAAAATATTATTTTACCTGCATACTAGTAGTATCTGGTATAATAACTTGAGGTTGTATTTTTATTTCTTTAGTACCATTTACTTCAAGACATGTTTCTTCATTGATAGCAGATTCTGTGGTAATTGGAGCAATTTTTATACTTTTTCCATATTCTCCTTTGTGAGACAATTGGAAAGTTTTCACCATTCCTAATTGAACCATATTTAATCAATTTTATTATTTAAAAAAATATTCATTCATATTAATATATATCTAAATTACCTCCATAATAATCAATTCTACTAGATCCACGTGTGCCATCATACCACGCATAAAATGGTTCACGGATTTCTGCATATGGAATATATAAAGTTCCTTTTACTGTATAAGTCTTGCTAAATGTTGGAGATTCTATAGCCACAATGTAAGACACTCCTGATAAAAACAATGATTATTTATATTTTCTAATATAATTTTATAATAGAAATTAAACAAAGAAATTTAAAATCATTATCTTACCTAACAATAATAATATAAAAGTATATGTAAAAATATACATTTTTATTTTCTGTAAAAAAATAAAAATATTGTCAATTAGATATTTGATATTTTACAATTTTATTAACATTATGATTTATATTAGATACTATTGATTAAATTATTACTAATAATAAAACAATTTAATTTAGTTAGAGACTATTATGAAAAAAAAATTATTTGTCAAATGATCACTTTTTATATTAAAATAATTTTTACAAATTTTATAAAATATTTTATAAAATAATATTTTTTAATATTATTAATTATAATTTTTAAAAATATTTAAAAAATAATTTAAATAGTTGAAATATGTAATTTAAAAAATAAATATACAAAATTTCTAATTACTATTAATAATTAGAATTAAAAACAATCGTTTTATAAATTAAAATTAAAGAATATTTTATATTTTTATAAATATTTAAAATAT